TCAATGTACAGCACACTAAGGACAGAGATCCTACATGAGGAGTAAGTGCACAGTGACTCCTGTTGCTGACTTCACAAATTGACACTCTTGTTTATGGCATCAGTAATCACCCTAGGCTCTTGTCATGAGCTGCCAAGGTTATGGAAGCCCCCTGGGTTCACTGACTCTGATCATATTTAGACAAGGCCATGATCAAAGTGGAAGTTCTCTCCTCCCTTCAGAGAAAGGTACCTCCTTCTTTGATGACCCATTCTTTCCACTGGGATCTCACTTGCGGAGATCCTTCATATAGGTTTTTTTTTTCCCCCCAGAGTGTCTTGGCTTTCCATGCCTGAAATACTCTCATGGGCTTTTCAGCTGGGTCCGCATGCCTTGAGGGCTGATTCTGAGGCCAGAGTGCTGTTTAAGACATCTGCCATTCTATGGGTCTGCTGTGTATCTCACTTCCCATGTTGGATCGTTCTCTCCCTTTTTTATTCTATCAGCTAGTATTTGTAGACACTATTCTTGTTTATGTGATCCCTTTGGTTCTTAGTCCTATCATTATGATCAATTGTGAACAGAAATTGATCACTGGGACTAGTGAGATGGCATTGGTACATGCCACCTTGATAGGATTGAATTGGAATCCCCTGGTATGTTTCTAACTCTACCGTTTGAGGTAAGTCAGCTTGAGCAGGTCCCAAATTTCACATCTCTTCCCTCTCGTATTCCCACTCTTACATTTAACAGCGATCATTTTTCAGTTAAGTTTCAGCACTTAAGAATAATTGTGCATTGATTACAGTATTCAATCAAAAGTATTAAGTAGAACAAACAAAAAAAATACTAAGAGGGATAACAAGTTGCTCATCAACAGTCAGGGTGAGGGCTGATCAAGTCACTGTTTCTCATAGTGTTCATTTCACTTTAACAGGTTTCCTTTTTGGTGCTCAGTTAGTTGTCACCTATCAAGGAGAACAAGTGGTATTTGTCCCTTTGGGATTGGCTTATTACACTCAGCATAATGTTTTCCAAATTCCTAACAGGGATCACTTTTCAGTTAAAATTTAAACACCTAAGAATAATTGTGTGTTAATTACAGAGTTCAACCAATGGTACTAGAACAAAAAATACTAAAATGGATAAAGTATTACATTGTACATCAACCATCAGAACAAGAGCTGATCAAGTCACTGTTTCTCATAGTGTCCCTTTCACTTCAACGAGTTTCCCCCTTGGTGCTCAGTTAGTAGTCGCCGATCAGGGAGAACATATGATATTTGTCCCTTTGGGACTGGCTCAATTCACTCAGCATGATGTTTTCCAAATTCCTCCATCTTGTTGCAAATGACCGGGTTTCGTTGTTTTTGACTGCTGGATAGCATTCTATAGAGTACATGTCCCATAATTTCTTTATCCAGTCTACTGTTGATGGGCTTTTGGGTTGGTTCCAGGTCTTAGCTATTGTGAATTGAGCTGCAATAAACATTAATGTGCAGACAGCGTGTTTGTTTGCCAATTTCATTTCCTTTGGGTAAATTCCAAGGAGTGGGAGGGCTGGGTTGTATGGTAGGGTTATATTCAGGTTTCTGAGGAATCTCCAGACTGACTTCCATAGTGGCTTGACCAGTTTGCATTCCCACCAACAATGGGTTAGTGTCCCTTTTTCCCCACATCCTCACCAGCATCTGTTGTTGGTAGATTTCTGAATGTGAGCCATTCTAACTGGGGTGAGGTGAAACCTCATTGTGGTTTTGATTTGCATTTCCCTGATTGCTAGTGATCCTGAACATTTTTTCATGTGTCTGTTGGCCATTTGGATTTCCTCTTTTGAAAAATGTCTATTTTACTTTTTCTTTACTTGAAGTTTTCAGCTCTGGAGATTCTCACAGCAGCTCTATTCCCTGTGAAATGTCCTGGTTCCCTCTCTGAGGTTCTCCAGAGGTGAAAAGGCTGCCTACATTCTGCTAAGACAGAGTGGAGTTTAGTAGTGTCTATGGTAGAGCAACTTGGATCTGGGTTTTGGGTTAGGAGTCAATATGGCTTCCTTTATTGGAGTAAAACAGTGACTCAGGCCCCATTTAGCTTTCTAGACTAGATTTAAAGTCAGTGAAGACTATGAGAGTCTTGTTTAGTTGGGGCTGCCAATCTACAGTGATGGGAGGGTGTCGGGTATGTGGAACTTTCAGCTTATCTCTTCCTTGCATGACAGAATCCCTTGGATAGCATAAGAGTTGAATAAGCCAGGATAGGAGCAGAGGTGTACTTTGGTCCTCTCTATGCTGGTTCACCATATCTCTTGCTGTTTAGGGTTCATGTCTGTTCTTCACTGGTTTCTTCTCATTCAATCTCTTGGACATGTGGAACTTATTTGGCTATTCTGTTGCATCTCTGTGCTGCAGGCAAATGCAGAGCCTCTCTCCTTAGCCATCTTGTATCTCTCTTACTCTTTGTTTCTGTGTACATTTTTCTTTCACCCTCTGGCCACTATTCTAGGTGCCTTGGCAACCTCCTACCTCAGGGTACATCTTCCCTAGTGAACCTGGGTGGCAGAAGGGGAGTTGTATACATGTACTAGTATACATGTACTAGCCATCCCACCAAAGGTATGATGAGAACAGAGCTAAATAATCTGTTTGTCACCGAAGCAGACTTGTGGGATTCAACTGCATTGGAGGAGAGCAATAATCCCCCAGCCTTCAGACAAGGAAGGCACCTTGGATTCCCAGGTCCTTCAGAGGTAGATTAAGCCACAGTTTTAGATGCCCACATTCCATGTTGGAGTGCCTGGAATCCAGTCCTGCCTCTGCTTTTAATCCAGTTTCCTACATTTGAGAGACAGCAGATGATGGCTCAAGTACTTGGGCTTCTGCTACCTGTGTGGGGCTCCTGCTACCTGTGTGGGAGACCAGAATGGAGTTCCATGTTTCAGGTTTAGTTAATTAATTTAAAAGAGGGAGGGAGTGAGGAAGGGAGAGAGAGAGAGAGAGAGAAAGGAGAAAGTTGGGGGGAGTTAAGTCACTATGTCAGGAGCTCTAAGCTGGGAGGAGTGGGTGTCACTACTCTGCTGCCATTGATTTCTCACCAGTGTTGCAGTGGATTTTTTTCTGAGAGGAGCAGCATGGTGGAGGCAAGAGGCGCGGAGTCACCACACAGACCCCGGGAGTCGGATGAAAGCAGGCTTGAGGCGAGCAGCCCGCAGACTCATTTATTACAGTTGGAACAACATCTTATATAGCCAAGATCAGTCAATCTGGTCAAGGGGTGGTCTATGCCCCAACCAATCACAACCTGTTGCCAGGCAGGCTCTGTTGCCAGGTGGGCTTCAAAGCCATTCCTGAGTAACTGATACTCGCTTGCCAGTGGCCACCTTGGCATGGCCTTATTCCACCACACTACTCCTCTCCTTTTCCACCTGCAGCTGACAAAACTTCATCCCTCTTCTGAATTACTTCCATGCTACAACCTTTCCACCTGACCCCACCTGGTGAGAGCTCTCCCCAGCAGCTATCACTTCCAGTCAGCTCACATATGGCTATGTAGGGTCCAGAAAGTTTAGCAGGCTAATCTAAAGTCTCTTGAAAGATATTCTGGTGCATGGGTCTAGGATAGTCCTTTCTCAATGTTCAGAAGTACCTGAATAAAGACCGCTTCCCATATGGTGTTTTCCAGATGAAATTCTACCCAGCACTTCCCCCTGGAAGGGAGCTTTCCTGGGAGTTCTGGTGGCACTGCCTCTGCTTCTGGCTGTGCTCCTGACACTGGCACTATACTTCTTTCAGAAGCAACGGAAATCCCAAGGTAAGAGGCAAACCAGGAGCACTCCCTTCACATTGACTTTGCTCCTGAGGAAAGAAGTGGAAAAGGCAGAAAGCAGCACTCTGACAGGGAATTTCACCCCAGGGTGGGTTACCAAAGCACCATCCTTAGGGAGCCATGACTGGGTAGGACTTGTGGGGGTGGGGTGGTACATACTCAATCTTCTCCTCTCCCTTTTTCCTTTCAGAAAAGTTCAAGAAGCAGGGAAAGAATGAACAAGGTAAATAGAAGAGGACCACTGGCAACTACATCTCTGACAAACAGAAAAAATGGCTCTGGGTCAAAAGTCAAGGACCACAGGCCTGAGAGATTGCAGGAGCAGGCTGCAAAGGGTTGGCCAAGAATTCCATGTATTCTCTTCTCCTGTCTCACACACAGCCCAGCCTACACTCCCAAATGTGCAGGGCTGGTGTTTGTGCATTTCAGGCACATGAGGCCTGGGTATTCATCAGTCTGCCCTGTCTGACTTATGCCTCTTTTCTCCTTTTCCTTCCCAGGGAAACTAATGGCAGAGCTGGGTAAGTTCTGGAGGCTGTGACTACCATACAGGCCATGGGCCAGCAGAGTAAACCGAGCAGCAAAGAAGGGGTTGGTTCAGTGGTGTTAGGCTTTGTTTGGGAAGAGACAGGTGATAACTGTCTAATTCAAAATCCATCTTTCTGCCCCTTCTTCCTCTCCACTTCCACATAAGCTGAGAAGACTGCCTACTGTGTGTGGTTCACAGCAGGTCTACCCTTTTACCCTCTGGACGGACCATACCAGCCCCTTGCCTACAAACTACACAATTCAGTTGAAAACCTACCATCAAAGGATGAATTCCTCTAATTCATTTCCTAGAATATCTTTCTCATTTTAATGCAAATGCCTCTGAAAGGGGGGAGGCTCCTTTATCTCACATTGATGTCAGAGTGCAGTGTTATCCTCCCTCAGGATCCCTGGGAAACTGTTTGCAGGACACATGTAGATACCAAATTCTGCTGAAGCTCACATCAGATATGAAGCAGCACAGTCTTTGCATTGAGCCTACAAACATCATCTGTATATTTAAATCATCTTGATATTTCAATACCTCATACAATGTAAATGCTATGTAAATAGTTATATTGTGTTGTTTGGGGAATAATGACAAGAAGAAAGTTTGTGCATGTTCAGTACAGATGCAATTTTTTGTAATATTTTCAGTCTAGTGTTAATTGACTCCATTGATATAGAACTCATAGAAATCTGATGATGCTTTATTTAGCAAGTAATTTTTCTCCCTAGGAGAACTCAGCAATTTGAAACCATGGTTGTGGCAGGGTATATGTACAGTAGAAGGGAGAGAAACCTAAAGGAAGGGGAGATGGAGAAGACCACCATAGTGGGGTGAGGGTAAGGACTCCAGGAAAAGCTGTGAGGTTGGAGAAGTTTTTCTTGCAGTTTATTTTATAATACTGCAGGGTAGCAGAGAAGAACCCTAATAACACCATAGTCCAAGTTGGTGTACAGTGTTATCTTTCACAGAAGCTTTAATTTTCCCTTTAAATATTTATTTATTTATTTGAAAGACAGAGTTACACACACGCACACACATACACACTCACATGCAGAGAGAGAGAGAAAGAGAGAATCTTCCATCTGATGACTCACTCCCCAAATGGCCACAGCGGCCAGAGCTGGGCCAATCCGAAGCCAGGAGCCAGAAGCTTCCTCTGGGTGTCCTATGTGGTTGCAGGGGCCCAAGCACTTGGGCCCTCTTCAACTGTTTCCCCAGGAAGGGAAATTAACAAGGAACTGGATAGGAAGTGCGGTAGCCAGGAATCGAACCAGAGCCCATATAGGATTCCGCACTGCAGGTAGTGGATTTACCTGATACGTCACAGTGCCAACCCCTTTTAACTTTATATGTTAACTATATAATATATATTAACTATATAATATAAATAAATGTATACATTTACATATACTATATGCTATACTATATATAATTTATATATATTATAATTTTATATTTATTATAATATATAATATATAAATATATATGTTTATATATAAATATATAGTAACTATATATTTTGTATATAGTTATATATTATATATTGTATCTTATAGATTATAATATATTATATATTAATATATAGTTACTATATATATGTATATTATATACACGTTTATTTATTTGAAAGGCAGAGCAACAGAGAGATATTTCTCAGCCACTAGTTCATTCCCCAAATGGCTTAAAAACCAGGGCTACTCCTGGCTGATGCCAGGAGCCAGGAACTCCATCCTGATCTCCCACATGCATGACAGGGGTCCACTGCCTTTCCAGTGCATTACCAGGTAGCTTCTTTGGAAGCAGTGCAGCCAGGACTTGAACTGGCAAGGAATATTACTTTCAAAAGGTGATGAAAGTGGAGACATCAAAGGAATGCATTGCAAATGGCAAAATGTTGTGGTCTTTGACATCTGGCTAGAGGAAATAATTGAGGGTGATGTCCTTCTAGTCCTTTAAGTAATGTATTCACTAAATTATCCTGAGGCTCTCATAGGCTATATTCAGCACAGGAACTTATTCTGGAGCTCCTCCTTAGGAAAATCTTTAGTTCAAAGTGAATGAGCAACAGGTCTCTTCAAATCAGATGTGAGATCAAGACCTATTTTCCCTTCCCATTATAGTACAGATTTCTGCCTTTGAGTGATAAGGAGGATGAGAACCTTGCTGATGAGTCTCCTTTTTCAGGGCAGTGCAGAGGCAAAGATGAGGTTAGAGTTAGTTGTGGTTTAAGACTGAAGAATCTCTTCTCAGTGACACAAGTGCCATGGGGAGGTGGTTCCATTCATGCAAAAGCTGATGTTTTCTCCATGTGTTCTGTTTGCAGAGAAGCTTCAAAAGGAACTTGGTAAGTGACTCCTGTAAGAACTACTTCTTGTTTACCTTTTTGCATCTGCTTATCCATGTATCCTCTTCTCCTAACCAAATATGAAGCCCAGGCTTGATGCCTACTGTCTGTGTGGTGTGCAGGGGAGAGGAAAAAGAGGCACTGGCATGTGCAAAATTCAATACATGAGCAGGAAAGCTGTGGTGTCCTTGTGTTTTAATTTCCTGTTTTCCCTTTCTGCCTCAGATTGGAGAAGGACCGAAGGCCAAGCTGGTGAGTGAAACATGTTTCCCCAAAATACAATGGGATTACATTCTGATACCCATCATAAATTGAAAACATTGTAGAACAAAAATGCATTTAATAATTAACACACAATTATTCTTATGTGTTTAAATTTTAACTGAAAAGTGATCCCTGTTAAATATAACACTGGGAATAAGAGAGGGAGGAGATGTACAATTTGGGACATGCTCAATCAGACTTGCCCCAAATGGTGGCGTAAGAACAGTGCCAGGGGATCCCAATACAATCCCATCAAGGTGGCATGTACCAATGCCATCTCACTAGTCCAAGTGATCAATTTCAGTTCACAATTGATCACACTGATCGGTCTAAGAGTCAAAGGGATCACACAAACAAGACTAGTGTCTGATAATATTAACTGATAGAATCAAAAAGGGAGAGAACGATCCATCATGGGAAGCGAGATACACAGCAGACTCATAGAATGGCAGATGTCCTAAATAGCACTCTGGCCTCAGAATCAGCCCTTAAAACATTGGGATCTGGCTGAAGAGCCCATGAGAGTATTTTAGGCATGGAAAGCCAAGACACCCTGGAAAAAAAGAAGACCTAAATGAAAGATCTCTGTGAGTGAGATCCCAGTGGAAAGAACAGGGCCATCAAAGAAGGAGGTACCTTTCTCTGAAGGGAGGAGAGAACTCCCACTTTGACTATGACCCTGTCGGAATAAGATCAAAGCTGGCGAACTCAAAAGGCTTCCATAGCCTTGGCAACTCATGACTAGAGCCTAGGGAGATTACTGATGCCATAAACAAGAGTGTCAAATTGTTAAATCAACAACAGGAGTCACTGTGTACTTACTTCTCATGTGGGATCTGTCCTTAGTGTGTTGTCCAATGTGAAGTAATGCTATAACTAGTATTGAAACAGTATTTTACACTTTGTGTTTTTATGTGGGTGCAAACTGATGAAATCTTTTCTTAATATATACTGAATTGATCTTCCATATGTAAAGATAATTGAAAATGAATCTTGATGGGAGTGGAATGGGAGAGGGAGTGGGAGATGGGAGGGGTGTGAGTGGGAGGGAAATTATGGGGAGAAGCCATTGTAATCCATTAACTGTACTTTGGAAATTTTATATTTACTAAATAAAAAATTTTAAAAAGCCATATA